TGACCATAATGTCTGATTCAACAGAGACACTGTGAGGAGAAATAGGATGCCAATCACTCGTAAGGGTTAAAGGGTCAAAGTAAATAGCTATGGGGGATGCAGTAGGCTGACTTACATGTATTACTGGTTAGCACCCACGACTCATAGGTGAAAAGGTCAGGACAATCCTGGCTCAGGTCATGGTAAGGTGTTTTGGGGCAAGACACTTGAGCGTGAACAGTGCCTCTTTCCATCAAGGAGCAGAATAGGGAGAGGGAATGACTGAACCTGGAATAGATTACCACACCATCCAGAATGGATAATAATACTCCTGACCAGAGTACTTATAATACTTTCATGAGGGGATGCAAATCGTCTGTACTGTAAGTATCCCGGATAGACCCTTAAATTTTCTAGGACTTTTAGTCTAAGAAAATGTATGGGGACTGTAAGGTGTCATAATCCTGTTGCTGCTGACATCAATGTGACAGATAATTGCTTTTGCACTGTTTTCTTTGCCGGCTTATACTTGTCATCAAGTTTCAATAAGACGGCTATCATTTTTCACAAGAATAATGAAGTTTTTGTAAATTGTGAGATCGGATGGGATTAAAATGGGATTAAATCACCTACAGAGCTTGATATGTACTTACAGTGCAGACGATTTGCGTCCCCTCATGACTTACAGCATGAGCTTGTTTGCCTGAGCTTTTTTACTTTTTCTTATATTGCATACAGTACATTAGCATGAAATGTGGATATTATCATGGTTAACCCTTTAACTCCCACGAGTGACCAAGACAGAATTTCTCCTTACAATATCAATACAATACCAAGCATACAAGTGATGAGAATAAAGAAAAATGTCAATTAGGGGATTATAAGTTGATCCAATACCAAATTCTCCAAACTAGCATCACAAGAACTGTATCGTAGACAGTAAGGAGAATTACTAATGAGATCTTGGGAGTTAAAGGGTTAATATGGATTTGAATGACCTGCTGTTAAAGCTCTAGTCACCCACATGGTTTATGTATGTAACTATCTTTCTTTTCAGAATTACACACTTGCTCCAGCTAGTGAATTCCCATATGTGGATAAAGAAACAACTTGTAGAGATGATCTTTTGTAAGTATTTTTGCTGCTGAAAACTTTGGTTTTTTTTTAGTACACATTTGCTGAAGTCTCCAATTATGAGCAAAGAAGAAAATCAAGACTCACAAGTCTCAGGTCCTGTGTCAGCTTGTAACAAAATTGACAACTCATATTTCATCCCTCACACCTTGTATCAGTGCCATATTAATTGATGTTTTTTAGTTGCTTGGTTATTTTGGATGGAGAAGTTTTTCGAGTGGTAGAATCATGGAATGAAGCAGAATTTTTCTCAGAAAAAGGGGAGTCATAGAATTTTCGGCCTAGATAGTGTGTCGAGTGTCAAGATGTTCAAGCATCAGAACTGAATTTGTAATAAGTATCTCTTGATGCTCATTTTATGCAGGACTGAAAAGGGAGTGAGGATAAAATGCGGATGTCCGGTGCAGATGTGAGTTATAATACTTGTGAGTTTTTTTAACCGTAAATTTTGTTTCAATAAACATCTTGCACTTTGAAAATCAGGTAAGAGCAGCTGGTCCAATATTTTGGATCTATACCAAAGATCGAGCTTCTCAATATATAATTATTTATTACAGTATCATTATTAGTTGTAGTAGCAGCAGGAGTGGTATTTGATATAAAAATTTACGCGGGAAGATTTGCGACGAGTCGGGGAGAGGTTTGCGGGGGTCTAGCCCTAATAATTATTAGTGCCAGACCCCTTGCAGACCTCTCGCGTTGCTTGAGGCCTCATACTTTCCTGCAGACAAAGAAACGCTCGTGCCACCGCAGCGCTGATAATGAGGGCTTTCTCGCAAGCTAGGAATAGCCGCTGCCATTTATGCATATTTCAGAGCTTTTATTGATTTACAGATTTTGCCCGTCGCCACAAACGCCTCAAAATTTCTGATTGAGTGCCCTCAAGTATAATCTAGCCTGTTCACATGAATTTCTCCTATATTTTCAGAAAAGAAGAGAACACTAGAATGAAGGATCTTGTTGGTCAACATGGTCCGCTTGCTGTGAATGTGGACGCGACCATGTGGCACGATTATTTTGGTTAGTGCTGTGTATAAAAGGTTGTCGTGCAATTGAGAAAGGTTTGAATTGGAGGAGAATCGTCTTACTCTGTGTTTTACAACGGTTTGGCCTCTAAAACGACTTTTTAAATCTGTTTGTCACAAGCATGCGAGTAAGAAAAGATGAAGGGAAAGGTTACTGTAATAAGTCTGATCAAACTGCCACATCGGCCAGCAGGTGGCCTTTACTTATCGGCTACTTTCAGCTGACAGTTGTTCGGTTGCTTAACGTTTCGTTGTTTGTTTAATTTCGTAGGTGGGATTATACAGCATCACTGCACAGACACAGACATCAATCACGCGGTGCAAATCGTAGGATATGATTTTAACGGTGCGCTGTCTGTTTTTTATACAAAGTATTAAAATTAAGTCAGTTAGACGTTATGAGCCAGTGAAACACAACAATAAAGTTGGTAAAGGATGAAAATAGTGAACCAAGCGAGATTTCTTGAGGGAGTTGGCACGCTAATATTTGGACTACGAGCAGTCTCTCCTATTCGACGAAGTCTGTCACGCGAGTCAAAAAAAAAATCAGTGAGCTCGTAGAGTGAGGCACTCGCTCAAAAAGTAAGAGTTGTGAGCGCCTCTCTCCAATTTTTTCTCACTGATTATTTCTGACTCGAGCGACGGACCTCGCAGGAAATGAGAGACTGCGCGTAGTCTAGCTAATACTAAGCCACCATATTTCATGGTATTTTTGAGAGGTTTATGTAACCGGTTGCTAAGATCTTGACCGCTACTTCACGGTGGACACTGCATTATCTCGATTGGCGCAACTCAGACTTAAGGATGTTGTGTTTTCACAGTTTGATCTTCTTCCGGATATCTCATAAAATATTGGTCAACCTCTCAGTTTATGGTCAACTAATCTTGTCCCAAGCCGTGCGGGGACATTTAGTTAAGAGACAACGCCAGAGAGAATATGTTAAGATTAGTTTTCCTTGACAAAAATGGGAACGTCTGGATTATGGTTAAGCAGATAATTTTTGAAACATGTTGCTTGCTATCCCTCTTAATTTTCTTAAGTTCAGGACTCTTGCAAAAGCGTCAAAGCTTTAGTATTCCGATTCGGGCAAAGTTGGAACTGTTCCTCTACTTAACACTGATTACTCGTTTCCTTCCTAATTTTAGGCCATATTTGGTATTGGATCGTCAGAAATTCCTGGGGAAAAGACTATGGCGAACAAGGATATTTGAAAATCAAAATGGGCGATAACTTGTGTGGTGGGTTCTATTAAGCTCTTAACCGAGTACTTTTGCAACAACAGCTTAAACTATTCGATGTAGTCGTGTTCATTAAAGTCGTAAAGAACACAGGACATTGAGCACAACGTTCTTAATGCAGCATGAGAGCAGTCACACTAAGAAACGTTATATCCAAAGGCCAGGGGAGGTCGAAGAATGCATGGACCTTCCCCTTCCTTTCCGTATGCAGTTGATGTATCATAGAATAGGACATCCTGGTGTCCTCCAAAATCCAGTTAGAAGCTGGTGTGCTCTCTGCGACCCCCCCTCCTCCCCCAATCTTTGCTAGAAAATCTCGTCTGTCACCGCTCCGCAACTTTGAAGGAGTAGAAATTTTTCACGGTTACTAAATTGACTTTAACGAACAAAATGGTATTAAAATTATAATAATAAATAGCTTCATTTAAAGAAAAAAATTATTCGTGTTACTTTTTTGTTGAATTCACGTCCTTTTGTATTTCAGGTGTAGCTGACACGCCGTCCTTTGTAGTAATCTAAATCCAAAGCAGACAATAGAAACTACCACAACCCTTGACTTCAACGCAACTTTTTCCAGCGCCTAGAATCAAGGGTTGTGTTTGGAACAAAGACGAACACGCCCCACATGCCTCAATAGATAATTTGTAAATTGTAAATAATGAAAAGTTGTCGTCACACAAGAGAGCTCTCAAAGTTCCCATAGTAGGTACAAAGTCTTAAGCAAAATTATTTGTATTGAAACATTTCTTTATGGTTTTCCTTTTATTCTATTTTGCGTAGGTATTTGGAATCTTTATCAAAACTGACTATATATGGAAAATCTCCTGTGAGGCTTTTTAAAGTTTTCTAAACTGTGTAAAAAATATTTTAAGAAATGATTTTATGTTATCATTTTTAAATTAAAACGATTTTCCGCAAAATTGTTTTTTTGTATTATTTCGCATAATTGTTTTCGAAACCTTAACCATTAACTCCCAGAAGTGATTACCGGTAAATTGCAACTTGTGACAGCCTTCACTGTGGTGTTTAAGTAGAGTAAAGAAGGAAGACTGCCGAGAAAATGCGTATTGCTTTGATCATGAGATAATCAGCCATAACCAGTTTTACCAGAATGTATCCCAGCCGGGTATCTTGTTTTGCGGTCAAGAGAAAGGACGAAATGTAAAATGGTGTGTTGCTGTTTCCCTGACAACCTACTTTCTTCGCTTGTTAGCTTTTGCGCGCGTCACCGATGACAAAAAAAGCTTGGTACAAGCTGCTGCAGAGGCAGCCTGGTTTCTAGGGTCTCTCTTCACAACTCTTGGAGCGAAAGAGAATGTCCGCCCCAATCCCCCCCTCCCTCGCCACCGCTACGTCGCAGAGTTAAATGTTCCGTGGCCAGAGAGCTTAGGCCCAGTTTTAAAAAGTTCAATGGTTTAGCGCAAACAAAACGCACAAGGAATAGAGATTTATCTGGTGGGTTTTGTAATTTACCCTTTGATCAACCTGGGAATGAGTGCCAGTCAATCGCAAATAAACTCTGCCCCACTCTCTCCACCTTTCCGATATAAAAGTAACATTGAGAACAATAACCAAGAGAATAACATCAACATATCGAATTTACGACATCAACGATAAAGTGAAAAATTTGTTCTGAAAAGAGTATCTTTATTAAAGCGCATTTTATTCAATATTACGAAACACACCTGAAATATTACATGCCTTATCAACAACATTTCCATGAGAATAGCATTGTCATTAAATATTAAAACGACTTACAAATGGTATCTTTGCTTTATCATTTCCGTTGCAAATATCAAAAAAGCACTTAAAAAACGGGGATAGAAAATTTCTTGGCTGTCTTAGCTAAAGCATATTTATTTTTATGTATATATGTAATTAACTTTTGAATATGGGAAGCCAATTCAGAAAAATGTTGCGGTCAAATTAAATACAACTAATTCCACAATGACGTGACTACAACTTCAAATCTAACAAACTATATACTGTTGTATTTACAAATATATCGAAATAGTAGGATTCCGATTTCATACAACTAAATTCTGCTCCTGCAGCTCTTCATGAGCCGTTTCAAAATTTTATCCTAATAAAATTATACGTATTCGGTCAAATGACTACTATATGAAATACTCTCTCGTTGGAAGAATCCCAAAAATCATTTTGAATGGGTAACACTTCAGACTAATTACTGCTTGCCACTTCGTCTCCTTCGGTGTCGACAGCTGGTGCACCTGTAATGCCCGCGTTCTTGACAAGGGAGGAAAGGGCTGACACCTGATCATCTTCACTGCTGTCGCTAAAGTGAGCACTGTCACTGTCGTGCAGCCGACCTCCAACCAGCGCAGTGCGCAGGCGTGCCTTCATGGAGGAGCTTAGTGGCGGAATTTGATCACGTGGTATCAGGAAATTGGACAAGTTAAACAAGTCAACGAAAACCTTGTAACGATCACTGGAAAGGAAAAGAATAACTTATTTCAAAGTAAAACTGAATTATTCGAGGAAAAATTGAAAAAAATAAATAAATGAGCACCAAAGTCTGAAATCGTCGTCTGTGTAGACCAACCTGACCGTGGACCTGAGGTACTGGTATCCAGACGTTCCGCCAGTCCCCATTTTACTGCCAATCATCCGCTGAACCATCATCAAGTGATTGTCTGTAAAGCAAAACGAATAGGTCTGCTAAGCGTGCACACAGTCGGAACCTGTTAACTCAAGTTTGCAACGCTCCACTGTGATTAGCGTCTCTGACTAACATTCGGAATGGGCAACATAAACCCAATTATTGATTCAAAAGGTGATTCTATCATGAACCAATCTCCGGTGACTATTCAGAGATTCAAATAATATTCTGCAGCCAATTTGAAATGGATGCCTCCACCGGACTAAACGATTGTGAACTAGACTTACATCGCCATTTGATTAAATTTGAGTCGATGTCCATCAGCAGTTGAAGAATTTGAAAAGGTTGGTTAAATCGAGGTTCGTCCCTGGAGAAACAGACGTATAAGAACAACTTGTTAAATTTTATAGAAGTTAGGGTTTGAAAACGAGATGGCTGCAAAAAGAACAAAAAAAATTGAAGGCAATCCTGACCAAATCCCTTAGAGTTTTGCTGAATAAACTGAGCTATTATCCAAGTATTACCCATGCTTCCAATGATGGGATCTTAAAAAAAAAGGATTTCTGGTAAGATGATAGAGAAAGGCAAAGCAAGACCTGACCCCCCCCCCCTCCCCCCGAAAATTTGACCTGGTTTTATAGTCCATATAGGCCTAAGTGCGGTACATGATCTACCTGGCACGTTACCCCCCTCCCCCCACCCCCACCCCCACCCCCTCGACCCTCCATACTCTTGAAAGTTGGGGAACACCATCTGTCTAAAGAACCAGGTGCGGCTAATTCATTAGCCATCGTGCCAATGAAACTAAACGAATGAAGCAGGATGAAGCATTTAAATTCTCACCGATAAAAGTAAATCATCAATGCCCCCTGCATGGCTTTATGGGAAAACCTTCTTTCGCCTGCAACAAAGCAAGAAAATTGATCGGTCCTCATACACTTGAATATTTTATAATATCACTGATGTCATACCGTCACACCATTCTCTAAATGTTCAAGTTACGCGAATGGTTATTCATTCAACAACGCTGCAGCCTGAATTTTTTATTTGTACTCAACGAGACGTTTGGTGCCGTCGCTTGCAACTGAACTTAAAGGTCGACTGATACAAAACTGGTGAAAACAAAAAGGCCCCCCCCAAAAAAGGGGTAAGTTTCTAAAGAAGCTGTGGTGCTGCGTCGGTGGAAGAGTATCACAGGGTAATTCAGTATTATCAATTGAGTTGATAACGTAAATTGTCCTCCCTATAGAGTTACAAAGCTGACCTATCAAGCGTTGGCCCTTCGTCGGAGCGAATCAAATATGCTCAATACTAAACTACCCTCTGTTAAAAGCCACTCACCAAAGGATGGTTACGTTGAGATTCGAGTGGTAAAAACTCGCCCTCATCTGCTTCATCTAAACCCAGTTTGTTCCTAATAAAATTTGTCTTACCTATTTTGGTATTCCACTCCCCCGCCCAGTTATTATTTCTAAAGTATCTCACTACTGAAAGGCTGTTTTCTGGGTCTTATGAGAGGATAACATGACCGCGGAGCTTAATAACAGTTTACCTCGAGCCACAAGTTGGTTATGCCTCTCCTCACTGAAGATTGTTTCAAAATGATCCTGTTGACAAAACGTTTGATACAAACATGTGATTACCTTTCACTAACTTAAACCAAAGGAAACATAACTATGTTTTAGTTGATTAAGAGGCGTATTTGCGAAAACCTAACGACGAATGACCTCAAGGTTACAAATGAGAGAATAAAAAATCGCATGGCCTACCTCTTGCTTTTTGATCTCTTTGAACAAAGTCGCTCGCACTTCTTCGTCTTCTTCAGCCTGTGAAATGCATGCCACAAATTGTTTGAAAAATTTCGACAAAAGAAGCAGATGCAGCTGCGTTTATCGTATTGAGCTTAGACAATTTTCTGCAAGTTTCCGTGTTCCCTGTGTACTCAAAACGAAGTTTTGTGAAGGAGAACATAAGAAGACTTGTCGGTTTTCGTGCAAATCTGCCGAAACAGCTACGACGGTAATTAAAACATCTAGAGGACAAACAAACCTCAGCTTCGGCCTTCTGAGTTTCAAGCATTGTTTGAACACTTGTCTTGTATTTCCTCCAAAAATCAAAGCCATCCTCTTCCAGGCCAGGAGTCCTCTCCAACCAACACTGAAGGTAAGAAAAAATCAATCCATGTCGCAAGCCTCTGATTTGTAAACAAAATCGCAAACAGTCTCAAAGAATCAAAAAGTCATCTTGTCTTCAGGAACTGTTTTGGGAAGATTCGAGAGTTTTATGAAAGCTTTCAGCCACTGGAAAAACTAAAAAGTTACGGAGTGAAAAATTGTCCGCTTTTTCAAATCACAAAATGACAGGTCGCTTTGTTAACAAAACCCACCTGGACGAGTTCTAGCAGTGAAGCCGTGCTTTCAGATTCTTCAAGCTGCTTCCCATCTTGCGAATCGAATGCTTTACTGAAATTTAAATTTAAAGAATAAACCACAACAAAGAACAAAATGTAGCAAAAGGAGTAGCAAATAATACATTCGGATAACAAATAAATGTTTTGTGTAGCCAACTAAGAATTGGCGCCTTCAACGAAAAAGTAATAACGATTGCTTTCATTCCTATTCGGTGGAAGAGGGTATACGTATAATTTTGAAGTTTTAAGAGCAAATGGAAGGGTAAGGATTTTAAGAGCTAACTCTTTACGCCCTACTACCAGTATGCACATTCTCCATACTGTTCATAATTCATTTCTTAAGGTGCTGACAATGAGAATTTGTTTAACAATCAAGACCTTCTTTCGTTGGCGATCATTTCCTTTATTCCTGTAAATAATCAGGATATAATCAGGGGAGATATTGCAACAAGAAATTAGATATTTGTCACTCTTAGGGGTGAAAAGGTCAAGGCATAGAAAGGGTGAGGAAAACTTCCACTGACAAATTTACAACCGTTAAAAAGGCTGATTTGATTTAGGCGGTTACTAAAGAGAAAAGTGTTCACAACTTTTTATACAAATACCATTCATTTGACATCCCTTGCCATAAGAATTTTTTTTTCTAACAAATTTAATGTTATACCTCAGGAACAAATGGTATGTGAAATCTGGGGAGAGGGATTTTTCGCACAAAATTTACTTGGGTAAACCGCAGAGTTTGCACGATGTCATGATGGATTTCATATCATAAGTTCAGGTGCTTGAGTGTTGTAGGAAAAGCATAGGAATAGCTCAGAAAGCTGGAGTTCGCTAAGATAGAGCAATGCCATAACTATGAAAGACTACGAAGGAAGCCTTCGTGAGTTCAAACAAAGGTGCATTGAACTAAAACACAATTAAAATTTTATTCCCACGCACCTGTAATCCTGATAATTGTAGCGGATTCTGTGGGTCTGTTTACGAAAAGAAAACCAAAACAACAACAGAAGCAAAAGTTATAGATTTAATTAATTCCTTTATCCCCATGGCATGGCAATAGCGCTCTTTCAGCTATGATCAAGTCCTTGCCACTGTACGTCTGGACACTTAAGATTCTTTATCTCGATTATTTATTGGGTTCCTTCCCGAAATTTTCATAAACAAGGCCAGAGTAATTCTTACTTCACCCTGAAGAAAACTCAGAGTCTTTCTGTTCTCAAGTGTTCTGCCGTGGGGTATGTTCAAAATTTGTTAACTATTTAACCCCTAAGAATGACTAACATCTAATTTCTCCTTACAACATCCCTACTGAATCAAACATTAAGGTCATGAGAATAAAGGAGATGATCACCAAACTAAAGAGGCTCTTGATTGTTGCACAAATTCTCCTTTTCAGAACCCTTGGAAATGTCAAGGGATTACTATGGAGAATATGCATACTGATCATACATACCTTGTTAATGCCAAGTTTATTCTCAATCAACCTGAACTGGAGACTCTGAAATCCTGACGCGGGTGCTAAGTAATCTCTAGAGGCCAGAAAAGTAAAAGAAGAAAAAAAAGAAAAGAAAAGATTTATCCATCTTCAAACGAGAAACCTTTCATCATCCCGTTATTTCCCGTTCAACACTTTCAAATGTTTAGGTTTGCAATTAGATTTGTAAAACAAATGAAGTACATTCAGAGGATGTTCCGTTCCAGTTCTTCAGAAATAAACCAAAAGGATCTAAAATCTTCAATCCCAACTAAGAAATATGAAATTTTTAACCCTGAGAAAGAAAGAAGTCCGTTACGGCTTGAAAGATCAGAGTTCGCCAGAAAACTGTACTTGATCGACAGGGATGTTGGTTAGTGACTGACCTGAATTCCATAAAATCCAATGGAGTCATGGTCTCTAAGATCATGATCTGATCACGTAACAGCTAAAAAATAATACATATAAACGGAAAATCAACCAAGCTGATTACAAGTATCTAAATTTCACTTCATCATGCATTATTATAGGGAGCATAAGCTAGTTTTTGAAAATCGAAGATCTTTACATGTCTTCTAATGAAAATAACGCAGAAATTCCCTCATCGATGAAAAGACTACCAACCCATCTTTTATCGATAATTATGCAGGGTGGATTGAAATTCATTCGGGTCAAAACAAACAGGCAAGTAAAAACATTTTCAGTTCTGGACAAGAATTAATTCAATGACTCACTTTTTGAATCTGCACAATGCGACCCAGTCTTGAGATTAAAACAAGCATCTTTCTTTCATCAGTGCCCTGGGAAAATACCAAACATTATCAGAGTTATAAAGGTAATTTCTTAGAAACTTTAAGTTAAAGCACCAACTTCGTGTACTCCACCGGATTGTCCTCCTTTGCGTAGAAACAAACTGAACGCGGGGTGTCACAAGATACAGGTAAATGAAGTCAATTTTCAATCACACT